GATGACAAGATCCAAATCCAATGCCTGCTTCCGTTGCGGGAAGGAGGGCCACCGGATTGCGGATTGCCGGGTCAAGCTGGATCCAAAGGGAGCGCGGGGCCCAGGAAGAGAGCCCCACAGAAGGCTTATCGAGTAGGCGACAAAGTGTTCTTCTCAACTAAATATTTACAGACCACCCAGAAATCGAAGAAGTTGGGTCCTAAGTATGTCGGCCCTTTCCCTATTGAGCGGATTGTGAATCCTGTGACTGTTCAGTTGACTCTACCAAAAACTCTTCGTCGTATTCATCCGGTTTTCCACGTTAGCTTGTTGAAACCCGAACATACCTGCGCATTGAGACCGACCCAGACTGATCCCCCCGTACCATTGTTGATTGAGGGTGAGCAACATTTCAAGATTAAAGAGATTTTAGACTCTCGGAAATGGAGGGGTCGTCTCCAATATCTTGTAGCCTGGAAACATTTTCCTCCATCCTATGCCGAGTGGGTAAATGAGAAAGACATTAGGGCTCCTGAACTGCTCAAGAACTTTTATGCAAAGTACCCTGATAAACCATAGAAATGTGTGCAATCGTTAACATATTTTTATGTTATTCTCTCTTACAGGGACTAATGTCCTTTTTCTAGGGGGTCCGAATGTCAGTCTCAAGATATCTTCTACATCTTATATCTTTTGCATCCTATCTGCTGCATCTTTTCTTTCTCATTTCTTTTGGCTGTCATTAGCAACGGGGGAGGGGGGCCTTGGAGGGGAAGAGAGCTGGAGGTGTTTTGCATTCTTTTGCCGTGGGTAAGCAAGGGGAGGGGGTGTATGAATTCTTGTCTTTAACTTTCCATTTCCTGGCTAGCTTCTATCCCCTTTTGCGCAGCTGCGAAGTTTTATCAAAATATGTCAAGGTCAACAGACAGAGGCATAAGCGCACCAACGTGCCTACCGTCCCTGTCCCATTGCTTCTTTTATTCTTCTTATATGTATCCATGTATTCATAACTATGTTTTTACTTATACCTGTTATCTTGTAAGCAACTGACAAACCAAGTAAAATAAAAATAAAAATAAACCTGGAAATAAGGAGAAATTTTCTGACAGTTAGAACAATCAACCCATGGAACAGAAGTTGCCTTCAGAAGTTGGGCTGCCATCTGTCAGAAATGGTGTAGGGGCTCCTGCTTGGGCAGGGGGTTGGACTAGAACAGGGGTTGCCAATCTTTTGGACCTCAGGCACCACCAAACTCATAATTTTAACTCCCGTGGACCACTAATTTGAATTTTGACTGATGGGTGGCTTGCTGACGTTGGTGGGAAAGTCAGTCCGATAGTCCAGAGCTGCAGTAGTCACAGGACTGGCCCTTTGGTCACCCTGGAGCAACTGCTCCTCCACCCGGGTGCACCGGCCATCCCCTGGGGTGGATTTCCCTCCCCCGCCGTTGGTCTTAACCTTCCAGTTCCAGCTCCCATGGCTCTACTCAAGGTAAGGTTTGCGCTTGGCCGAAGGGTGGGGGCCAGTGGGTGGGTGGCCCATGTGGGCAGGGCAGCCTTGTGTTCCCACACAGCCTGGATTAATTGCTTTGGGGGGGGGGCACATTTTTCTGTGGACCACCAAAATTTTCTTACGGACCACCAGTGGTCCTCGGCCCACTGGTTGGTGACCACTGGACTAGATGACCTACAAGGTCCCCTCCCAATCTGGTATTCTGTTACTCTCCGTATGTAGAGCCAAGATATTGCCATGGAGTTTGGACTGGACAAAATGCGCCATGCTTTACCATCAGACAGGGAATAATAGTAAAAATTGAAGGAATCAAAATGCCCGACAGAAATAACATCAAAAGCTTGGATGAGCCGATTGTATTTGCACCTGGGCATCCTTCAAGCTGACAACATCAAGGCCAGTGAAGTCCAGGGAGAGCCCAGGAGTGAATACATCAAGAGAGTGAAGAAGATCTTAAAGTTCCAAACTCAGTGGAGGAAAATTAACACTTAGCAAATTCCAGTCATTAGATTCACAGCTGGAATGGTGGAGTGGACTCAAGCAGAATTAAAAGGCCCAGCTAGGAAGACCAAAAATATAATGACAATGAATCATCCCTTTCATCCCCGCAGCGACGTTGACTGACTCTTCTTACGAAGCAAAATGGGTGGGCGTGGAACATGGCAAGTAGGCCAGATGATTAAAGAAATAAAAAAAGGGCATTGGAAGTGTACAAAGTTAGCCCCCACACCTCTCTTAGAAGAATGAAACACTTTGAGAAATATTTAAAAAGGCAGAATATTATATTTCCCTAAAGGAGAAACATGCTCATGGAAGGCAGCCCCCCGAGTCTTTCTTAATAGCCCCAGCAGGACTGGGCCAGCGTATCAACAAGACAAAAGACCTTCAGCTCCAGGCTGATGGGATTAAGACATGGTCCTTCAAGACATAGTAGGATTATCTATCGGCAGAGCTCACCCCATGGCACAACCAAGCCCCTTCATGGCATCACCCAGCGAGGTTCAACCAAACTGATCTCAGACAACCTCAGCTATGACCCCTGCATGGCCCCCTGGGAGTCTGACAACCAATAGAACATATGCCCTTGCACAGGAACAGGAAGCTCAAGGGCAAGGCCCAAGAGTGGGTATAAATACCTCTCACTCTCCACTCCATGTGGTCAGCTGCCCAGGACCTCAAAACCCATGTGGTCCTGTTCATCAGTAAACCATCTTTCCAACCAGCCCCTCCATGTTTCCAGTGTCTTTCTCCCCACTTGGAACTGAACCAGATGGATTTTTTTCTTCCAACAAAAGAATATCCAATGGATAGTGAAAAAGATGCACTGAAACTTTAAACCTTAGTTTGTCTACTGTTGGCCTCACCCCATTCCTAAGAGCTCTCTAAGGGGTGTGCATAAGTGCACCAATGTGCCTACTGTCCCTATCCTAATGTTCCTTTTCATTCATACCCATTTCATGTACTCATAATTATGTTCCTAATTATATCTGCTATCTAAAACAGGAGTTGAAACCGTTTATGACCCCTCACATCCCGGACATAAACGGTTTCAACTCCTTCCCTCAAAATGACGCTATAGAGCATTGCACACCAGAACAACTAGACACAAGGACAGTTTTTTCCCAAATGCCATCGCTCTGCTAAACAAATAATTCCCACAATACTGCCCAACTATTTACTAAGACTGTACTACTATCACTGTTAATCTTCTCACACTCCTTCTCACCCATCCCCTCCCACTTGACTGTTTCCTAGTATGATTTGATTGTTGATTGTACCCTATGACTATCATTAAGTGTTGTACATTATGATTCTTGATTCTTAATGAATGTACCTTTTCTTTATGTATACTGAGAGTATTTATACCAAGACAAATTCCTTGTGTGTCTAATCACACTTGGCCAATAAAGAATTCTATTCTATTCTATTCTATTCTATTCTATTCTATTCTATTCTATTCTATTCTATTCTATTCTATTCCATTCCATTCCATTCCATTCCATTCCATTCCATATTTTCTATTCTGTTCTATTCTATTCTATTCTATTCTATTCTATTCTATTCTATTCTATTTTCTATTCTATTTCTATTCTTATTCTATTCTATATTCTATTCTATTC